TTTGAATGTTAAAGACATGAGGTCATACATTTGAATGTTAAAGGCATAGGGTCATACATTTGAATGTTAAAGGCATCAGGTAATACATTTGAATATTCATGGCATAAGGTCATACATTTGAATGCTAAAGGAATCAGGTCATACCTTCGAATGTTAAAGGCAACAGGTCATACATTTGAATGTTAAAGTCATCAAGTCATACATTTGAATGTTAAAGGCATCAGGTAATACATTGGAATGTTGAAGGCATCAGGTCATACATTTGAATGTTTAAGGCATGAGGTCATACATTTGAATGTTTAAGGCATGAGGTCATACAGTGGAATGTTAAAGACATCAGGTCATACATTGGAACATTAAAGGCATCAGGTCATACATTTGAATGTTAAAGTCAACTGTTGTCACTGTTCACAGTATAGTCACATAATTTTGTCCAGATTCATTCATACATGTATATTTTAATATAGACCTGTAAAAACATTTGCAAAAAATCAAACTAAAAACATTAATACAACATAGTTAAGCTCTAGTGACCTTTCCCTTTGATATATAGTATTATTTCCTTTATCATAGTTTAATTCAATATTCAATGAATATGCCACATCATTATTAATTTTTAATACAAACAAGTTTTAGGATTGAAACAGCAGTAAAAAATGCACAGCCATCACAGAGACAATTGGAATAAATGTATTAAGATGGAATTCACCACTATGAATATTTTTAGTTTATTTTGTGTCTTTTGTATGATAAGTAAGTGGGGATATCCCTAAGCACTTATCGTGATTAATGTTTTTGAAGTGTGTTTTTAAATTAGTAATATAAAAGCTCTATAATTGTGTACTACTATTCCTGCGAATTTAGATTTTTGAAATTTATATACTTCGACAAAGAAATGTTTTGTCAAATGAACTGTATGTCAAAAAAAAATTTTTTTACATTTTTCCTTTCAAAATGTGGATGCAATATTTTGCCTGTTATGCATATTTCCATTATTTTTGTTTTGATGACTTTGGACTAAACAGACATAATTTTCTATTGGCTTCAGATCTTGATCAAAAGATTGGCATCCAAAGGGTTATTCATAAGAGTGCTTATACCGGTTATCTGATATCTTGTTTTCTGTTAAGATAGTTTATGTATTTTATTGGTAAGTTTGCAAATGTGCAACTGTGACTGTGCAACAATTCTCTCCACGAGTTGATTGAAACCCAGTCTAGTATTCCCATGGAATTTGGGAGATACATTACCAATGATATTGATTACAAAATAAATGATTTATTTCATTGAACACATGCAGTAATGCATATTCCCACTAGGATCAGTGATCTGTGAATGTGTATCACCAGCAATCAGTCAAATAGAAACAGTCCAAATATTGACTACTACTTTCTAAATTTTTGCATGATATTTTTATACAGGACATCTGCATGTCGTTAACACTAACGGAAGATTTTATATTAATAATTAGGTGATCAAGTTTGATACAGTTTGGAATAGAATTAGTAAAGTTATTGTCTACACATTAACAACTATTAACAACAATGGCAACAATGACATTTCTCTCTTGATAAACCTTTCCCTTTCATCTTTGATGATATGGCAAAGTAATAAAACACATTTGGAGAAGATTTTACCTGATTGCGATCCCATCCTCTTGTCAAGTATATATTATAATCCAGAAATTCTGGTTTGCCTTGTTCCTTCATTTGTGTTTCTAAATATTGCAGTAAATCCGAAAACCATTCAAATGCATTGGTATCTGGACATATCCAGTAAAAATAAACTTTTTGTAGTTTAAGTTCAAAATCAGGATTCAAATACTTGTACCTAAGAGACAGAGATGATTTTAATGCAGTAATAAAAATAAATGAAATACACTCTTTTCAATATCATATTACAATATTTAATTTGGGTAGCAGCCAATAGCTTCCATACTTCTATTAGAATTCTGCAACTATTTGAAAACACAGGTAAACTTACTTGATATAAAGGTTTTACACCACAATTAGGATTTCTATCAAAGACCAGGAGTCACATACACACATAAGAACTAACAAATACAATTCTTTCATTTTGAAAACTTATTACAAATAAATGCTTGCTTTGATTGCTGAGTGGAATGTTAGCGACAAGCAAACACAGTAAAAAGGACGTACGTA